AGGAGGGAGGGAGGTTTCAGTAATTGGCCACAATAATCAACCACACTGTATATTGACAAAAAAAACCAGTTGGAATTTAATTTCTATAACAAATAAAGTTCATAACACTGAAACAATGGATTTCAATGAGAGCAGTTACTCCTCCATCCCAGAATGTTTTAGAAATGTGTGGGATAGTTTCTGTTTCACTTGAGGACATTATCAATATTTATAGGCAGAAACCAAGGATGTTAAACATCCTGAAATCGGTGAGATGGTCTCACCCAATGAAGAATTGTCCTACAAAATTTTGAATGTCCTGCCAGATATTCATGTGGGTGAAAAAAGTATTATAATACATTTTCCTAGACTCAGATAATTAATTATATCTGGGTCTCTATATGTAACATTAATTTGCAGATAAAGAAAGTGCTTTTCCATGGTAATTGTAACAACAACAATAATATAGGAATACAGGAAAACTGAGGAAAGGATTGTACTTCATTTTGCTCAGAATGCTACCAAGAGCAAGTCACTATTTTAAAAGACCGTGTCTCTGACAATAACACCAATCAGGGTGTTTATTATACCAACACAACACTCTGCATTTGTAGGTATTCCAGTCTTGGTGATTCTATATGCTTCAAACTATGTCATCATGTCATTGAAATGTGGTCATTATCTAAGTACTTACATACTGAAATACTAGAATTTTATTTTTAAATTACTTTTATTCTCCTTTACATTACCATAGGGCAGTACACTGATTTTTTAAATTATGTGTGTAGGTGGATTTTATCATTTATGAATTTTATTTCAGGATAGTCAAATGAGCATTACAAAATATATTATTAAAAAGGGATACTGGGTCTAATAGTATTGAGAACCATTAACAAAAATGTTCCTGAGAATAAATGAGGTCTATAATTACTGGTACAAAAATGGAAATGTTCTTTCCAAATGACTTTTTGCCTAAAAATGTGTGTGATAAATTGATAAACTTTTAGGAGGTAAAAAGCATAGAATTAACAAAGTATCCATAAAAACTAAAAATGACAACCTGCAACAAAGAATTGTGTTTCTACACCTGCTGTATACATGTTATCATTATAGAATAAGTTTTCATTAAGGTCCAACAAGTACCAACAATACCTAACATTGTATTGTTCCAAAAAGTCAGTTTATATAATAAACTTAAAAAGAAAAAAGCTAACATTTGCTGATTATTATGTATCAGGCACTGATTTAAATACTTTGCTCTAATTTGTTAATGTTGGCAATAATCCTATGAAGTAGATGCTATTATTATTTCCATTTTCATACGACAAAACTAAAGCTCATAGAGGTTAAGTAACTTGATCAAGATCACAGAGTCAGAATCCAAGCTAAGATTGGGATGGACCTTAATCAAGTCATGAAACCCTCCTAAATTTCAGTTTCTACATCAGTGAAATTAAACTGCTGGGAAGATTAAATAAAGCATGCACTATTACCACCAACTACTATTCACTGCACTGAATGCCTACACCACATTGTAAGAGCTCAGTAATGGTGGCTGTTGCTGTAAAATGTTGCATCATTTTACAATGGTGACTACTCTTATTCTACATACATTGTTTTCCTCTAATTATTTTACTGACAATGCAATTCGAATCAAAATTCCAATATAAATATTTTAAAGGCTAATCTTTTCTTGTCTCATATTAAAATATTTGGCAATATTGGGCCGGCCCGGTGGCGCAATGGAGAGTGCGCCGCTTGGGAGTGTGGCGGCGCTCCCGCCGAGGGTTCGGATCCCATGTGGAGACCGGTTCCCGCTCACTGGCTGAGCGCGGTGCAGGCGCAACACCGAGGGTTGCGATCCCATTGCCGGTCCCCTCCCCGGTACGGGCGCGACACCAAGGGTTACGATCCCGTTACCGGTCAGTAAAAAAGACAAAAAGGAAAAAAAAATATTTGGCAATATCTATTAAATATACCAATACTTTACCACTTGACTCAGCAGTCCTGCTTCAGTAATTTACCCTTGGATATGTCTGCACATGTATGAAATCATATATACAAGGTTACTTAAAATATAAAAAGTACCTTTTGAACAAAAAGGACCTTAATTTAGTAAATATTCTATTGCTTTGGAAAGTACCCCAATTTCAATTATTCTTACCTCTAACCTCTGTGTTTGATCCTTGCCCAAAAGGTCACGAACTTCTTCATTATATATTTCCAAATAAGACACTCGAACCAAAAATCTATAAATAAACATCATTTTTTAAAACATAAAAGACAATGTAATATTTATAAGAACAGTTTTTAAACATGTCTATAAAACTTATACCTAAGTGCTTTCCTATGTTTGTAGTTCTCAATATTACAAAATAAAAGAATTCTCTTTTACCTTGTATCACCCTCTGCTTTTGCAATATGACCAAATATGTGAGCAAATGAATTGGGAATGATTCCTCTAAGTTCAGGAACAGCTCGAACGCCTTCCATAGTAAAAGTTTTGCCTGTTCCAGTTTGCCCATATGCAAAAATAGTCCCTGAAAATGATGAATAGAATCAGTCACTTTTAAATCTAATGTTACATACAGAAAAACAGCTCTTAAAATTAATTCCTTTGACATTATGATGTAATTTCTTCCCTGATTCAAGATTTACCCTAGTATAAATTTCACATTTATTATCAACAATTACAATATGTACTCTGTGCCTTATGAACAAAGCACTGCTAAAGCATCAGAGTCAATGAGATATTTCTAATTATTAATCAAAAATATCCCAAGGCCTAAATGCAAAACTCTTATATATAGCTAATTATAAAAAATTTACTATAATGTATATATTAATTATTTATTGTAGACATTAAATTGGAGAATGTAGTAGAAGTACAGGAAAGGAATACAGGCTCTAGAGTAAAAGACCTTAGTCTGAATTCGCATCTGCCACTTTTTAGCCACATGACCTAGGACAAGTTATCTACCCAGAGATTGTCTCCTCAATGGTAAAATGGGGATATAACTACCCTACATTGACAGTAAGAACCAAATGAAACAATTTATTTCATAGCCAACATCATGCTTGGTAGAAAGCACCAGTAAATGGTAGCTTTTTTCTTAATCCTAAAATAATTAAGCTATAAGAAATAGGGGAACTAACGAAAAAGGTGACCCATTATGACAATTATTACAGGAAATTACAGATACAATTTATACTTTCTAAATACCTAAATTCATTCATTCGACAAATATTTACCTCACACCTGAGTCTGGCACTGTGCTAGGTACCAGGGACAGAGTGACAAGCAAGACAAACACAATCCTTAATCTTATGGTGTGTATAATCTTGGGGAGGAAATATTGGTGGAACAATTATAAGCATAATTAGTATTTAAGATTGAGAAATGCATAGTTCTAGATGGGAGTAAGGGACATAAACCAAGCAGGAGAACTGTTATGCGAAGAAGGGGGAGGAGGTCAGGGAAGGCTTTCCAGAAGAGATGAAGTTTAAGATAAGATCTGAAATACAAACAAGAATCAAATAGGAGCAGTGGATAGTAAGAGGCAAGAAAGAGAATGGAGATTTTGAGGAACTGAAATAAAACAAGAGTGGAAGAAACAGAGCTGGAAAAGGAAGGTGGATGCAGATAGAGCTAGAGAAACTGGCAGGGTCCTAATCACACAGGGTCACAAAGACCATATTAAAGTTTTTAAACCTTATTCTAAAAGGAAAGTGAAGCCATAGAATGATTTTAGTCAGAGAGTGACATCATGATCACTATGACTATACTGTGAAGAAAGAATTGGAAGAAAGCTAGAGTAGCTGTCCAGGAGACAGTGTAATATGAGAAGATATCCTAGGATGCGACAATATAAAGGAAATATGTTCCTTAACTAATACTATTCTATTCAGTTAACCTCAAATGGCATCATTTTTAGACTTTTTTGTGAAGATATATTAATCATATCAGAAGCCAGTTTTTACACATGGGAATAAAAGTCTTAATTTTTTCTTTTCTTTTTCTTTCTTGGGCAGCTGGTCAGGACAGGGACCGAATCCTGGATCTTGGTATTATCAGCACCACACTCTAACCAGGTGAGGTAACTGGCAGCTCTTTTTACTTTTTTTTTTTGGCAGCTGGTTGGTACAGGGATCTGAACCCTTGACCTTGGTATTAAATAACACCATGCTCTAACCAACTGAACTAACAAGCCAGCCCCTCAATTTTTCAAAGTGACAAAATATTTCAAACTCTGCCTTAGGAATAAAACTTAGTGCATTCAAAGGAGTTGAAAATGTCACGAACTCAGACTGTATTTTATATGACATATTGAATTATTAAGTAGATTACACATGTTATAAGGACAACAGCTAACATCACTTATCATTTGCTATGTGCTAGGCCACATACTTTAATTTACATGCATTTTAATTTTATTTTCACCCCAATCCTAAGAGGTAGGCAATATTTGTAATCCCATAGTTTAGGGAAACAGAAGCTTAGAGAAGTAACTTGTTCAATGTCCTGTATATTAGGCTGCTTGAAATTGTCTCACACCTCATTGATGCTCTGTTCTGGTTTTTTGTGTGTTTTCTATTTTCTCTGTGGCTTGTTTCTATTGGTATGTTTTCAAGTTTACTCTTTCTTTCATGAAGATCCATATTTCCATTTAATATCATTTTCCTTCTGCCTGAAAAACTTCCTTTAACTTTTCTTATACTGCAGGTCTACTGGGGTGAATTCTTTCCGCTATTGCAATCTAAAAAACCATTTATTTTACCTTTGTTTTTGAAAGGTATTTTCACTGGTATAGGATTCTATTTTGATGGTTCCTTCTTTCAATACTTAAAAGATATGAGGGGTCCTCCAAAAGTTCATGGAAAGATTCATATTATCTTTCAATTCTACTTTTCCACAAACTTTTGAAGTACCTTCATATTGTGCTACTTTCTTCTCACTTGCATTGTTTCTGACCAGAAATCTGCTTTCATTTTTGTCTTTGTTCTTCTATATATAACATGTCTTTCTTTCTCTGGTGGCTTTTCTCTTCTTTATCATTGGTTTTGTATAATTCGATTTTGATGTGCCTTGGTGTATTTTTCTTCATGTTTCTTGTGTTTGTGGTTCATCAAGCTTCTTGGATTTATAGTTTGTAGTCTTCACCAAATGTGGAAAAATATCAGCCATTATTTCTTCAAGTATTTTTGTCCCCAAAGTAGGTTTCAGAACAAAGAATATTACTGGAGATAAATAGGACAATTTCATAATGAAAAAGAGGTCAATTCATCAAGAAGACAAAAATCTTAAGCATTTATGCACCTACTCACAATTCCAAAATAAATGAAGCAAAAACTGATAAAACTAAAATGAATAGGCAAATCTGAAAATAGAGTCAGAGAACTCAATATTCCCTCTCAATAACTGATAGACCAAGTAGACTGACAATAGTAACTACACAGAAGATTTGAACATTATCAAACAAATTGGCCTAATGAACATTTATAGAACACTCCATCCAACAAGAGCAGAATACATGTCCTTTTCACGTACACACAAAACATTTCATAAAACTAAACTACATTCTGGGCCATAAAAAAAAGTCTCAATAAATATTAATTTAGAAGATTCAAGTCATACAAAGTATGTTCTCTGACCAAAATGGAATTAAATTAGAAATCAATAACAGAAAGATCTCTGGAAAATTTCAAAATATCTAGAAACTAAATAATGCATTTCTAAATAACCCAGGGATCAAAGAAGAAATGAATAGCTAAAATAGAAAGTATTTCGAACTGCATAAAAATGAAAACATAGTATGTCAAAATTTGTGGGATGCTGCTAAAACAGTACTTGGGGAATAATTTATAGAATTAAACCCCTATACTAGAAAGGAAGAAAGATCTCAAAACCATGACCTCAGCTTCTACCTTTTAAGAAATAGAAAAAGAAGAGCAAATTTAACCCAAAGTAAGAAGAAAAGAAACAATAAAGATAAGAGCAGAAACCGAAACAGAAAACATAAAATATAGGAAAATGACTAAAACCCAAAGCTGGTTGCTATAGTTTGGATATGATTTGCCACCACCAAAACTTATGTTGAAATCTGATCCCCAATGTGGCAGTGTTGGGGGATGGGGTCTAGTGGGAGGTGTTTGGGTTATGGGGGTGTACACCTCACAAATAGATTAATGTCCTCCCTGGGTAGTGAGTGAGCTCTGGAGAGAATGAATTAGTTCCTGCAAAAACTGGTTGTTATAAAGGCCTGGTACCACCCTCCTCTCTCGAGCTTTCTGCCAGAGTGGAAGCAGCCTGAGGCCCTTGTCAGACGCAGTTGCCCAATCACAGACTTTCCAGCCTACAGAATCATGAGCCAAGTAAACCTGTTTTCTTTATAAATTACCCAGTCTCAGGTTTTTTTTTTTTTTTCTCCTTTTTGTCTTTTTTACTGACCAGTAACAGGATCGCAACCCTTGGTGTCGTGCCCGTACCGGGGACCGGCAACGGGATTGCAACCCTCGGTGTTGCGCCCGCACCGCGCTCAGCCAGTGAGCGGGAACCGGTCTCCACATGGGATCCGAACCCTCGGCGGGAGTGCCGCCGCACTCCGAAGCGGCGCACTCTCCAGTGCGCCACCAGGCCGGCCCGAGTCTCAGGTATTTTTATGACAACACTAAAAACGACTAAGACAGTGGTTCTGTGAGAAGATCAATAAAAGCAATAACGCTCTAGCCAGAGGAAAAAAAGACAAGACACAAATTACCAATATCAGGAATGAGAAAGGTTACATCACTACATTCTGATATACTAAAAGAATCATAAGGGAACAATATAAACAGCATTTTTCCAATAAGTTTGACAATTTAGATGAAACAGACAAATTCCATGGAAGACAAACTACCAGAACTCACTCAAGAAAAAATAGATAACCCAAACAGCCCTACATCTATTAATCAAATGTGTAGTTTAAAACTTTCCCACAAAGAAAACTCTAAGCCCAGAAGGCTTCACTGACAAATTCTACTAAACATTTAAAGAAGAAAAATACTAATTCTAGATAAATTCTTCTAGAAAGTTGAAAAGAAGGAAATACTTCCCAACTCACTCTATGAAATTTAGCTCATACTGATGCCCAAACCAGATAAAGACATTACCAGAAAACTATATATTTATATCCTTCATGAACACAGATGCAAAAAAAATTTTTTAAATTTTAACATATCAAATCTAACAATATACAAAAAGGATAATACATCATGACCAAGTGGCAAAGCTGGCTTCACATTCAAAATTCAATCAATGTAACTGTCCATGTTAACAAACTTAAAGGGGAAAAAAAAGATGACATCAATACGTGAAGGAAAAATTGCATTTGCCAAAATCCAATACACATTCCTGAAAAAAAAAACTCTCAAAGAGATCTAAGAACATAAGGGAACTTATTCAATCTGATAAAGTATATCTATGAAAAAAATCTATAGATAACATCATACTTACTGGTGAAAGGATAAATGCCTTTTCCCTAAGATCAGGAACAAGACAAAAATGTCTACTCTCACCACTTTTATTTAACATTTACTGGAGGTTCTAGCCAGTGCAATCAGGCAACAAAAAGAAATTAAAGGTATAAAGATTAGAAAGACAGAAGAAAAACTGTCTTTATTTACAGTCAACGTAATCTTGTATGCAGAAAATCCTATGGGCCGGCCCGGTGGCGCACTGCTATAGTGCGCCGCATGGGAAGCGCGGCAGCGCTCCCGCCGAGGGTTCGGATCCCACATACAGACCGGTTCCCGCTCACTGGCTGAGCGAGGCGCGGGAGCAGCACCGAGGGTTGCGATCCCGTTGCCGGTCCCGGTCCGGTACGGGGGCGACACTGAGGGTTGCGATCCGTTGCCGGACACGGAAAAAGACAAAAAAAAAAAAAAAGAAAAAAAGAAAATCCTAAGTAATTTACACACACACACACACACACACACACACACACGCACACCCCCAAAAGAAACAAAAAACAAAAATCTACTAGAATTAATAAGCAAGTTTAGCAAGCTTGCAGGATACAAGGTCAACATACAAAAATCAATTGCAAACCACAATGAGATACCGCTTTACACCCACTAGTATGGCTATAATCAAAAAGACAGTAAGAAGTTGTGGCAAGGACATGGAGTAACTGGAAACGTCACACATTCCTGATAGGAATGTAAAATGGTACAGCCACTGTGGAAAACAGTTTGACACTTCTTAAAAGCTTAAAAAGAGTTACCATATGACCCAGTAATTTCACTCCTAGGTATGGAGGTACTTCAAAAAGTTCATGGAAATATTCATTTTATCTTTTAATTCTATTTTTCCACAAACTTTTTGGAGTACCCTTGTGCATACTCAGGAGAATTAAAAACATATGTTCACACACAAAACTTGTACAAAAATGTCCAAAGCAACATTATTCATAATAATTAAAAAGAAGAAACAACCCAAATGTTCACCAATGGATGAATAGATAAACAAAATATGGTATAGCTATACAATGGAATATTATTTGGCCATAAAAAGGAATGTAGTACTGATACATGCTGCAAAATGGATAAACCTTGAAAACATTATGCTAAGTGAAAGAAGCCAGCTACAAAAGGGCACATAGTGTATGATTCTATTTACATGAAATGTCCAGTCTAGAACAGGTAAACTCATAGACAGAAAAAGCAGATTAGTGGCCCATAGATATGTATAATCAATTATGTTTCAATTAAAAAAAAAAAGAAAGTAGAATACTGGTTGCTTGGCAGGGGTCTGGGGGGTAGTGGCAGCAGGCAGAGGGTATTGAGAGTGACTGTTAATGGGTACAGGGTTTCTTTTTGGGGTGATAGGAATGTTTTGGAAACAGAATAGTAGTGACAGATGCACAACATCGTCAATGTTTACTAAAAACCTATGAATGGTACACTGTAAAATGGTTAAAATAGTGAATTTATGTTATTTGAATTTTACCTAAAAAAAAAAACCACCTAAAAAAATAAAGTGCATTTCTATATATTAGTAATGTACAATCCAAAAAATGAAATTATAAAAACAATTCTTTTCACAATATCATCAAAAAATACCTAGAAATAAATTTATCAAAAGAAATGCAAGACATGTATGCTAAAAACTACAAGATATTGATGAAAGAAATTAACCAAGACATGTTGAGGTCTATCCCGATGGGGCTTTTCCTGTAGCCACACATCGCTGGAAACACCTCATAGAGTAACTCTGTGGTTCTGCTTTACTCGTAGGACTACTTGTGAGATCTGTGGGAAGAAACTATAAGACAGTTGAAAAAGAAAAAAAAAAAAAAGAAAAATTAAACAAGATATGAATAAATGGAGAGATATATCATGTCTATGTACTGGAAGACTCAATATTGTCAGAATAACAATTCAACACAATCATTATCAAAATTCCAGAAGTTATTTTGTGGAAATTGATAAGGTGATTCTAAAATTTATATGAAAATGCAAAGGACCTAGAAAAGGCAAAACAATTTTGAAAAATAACAAAGTTAGAGAATATATACTACCTAATTTTAAAATATATAATAAAGCTACAGTAATCAAGACAAGATAGACATGAATAGACACTCCAGAAATAAGCCCACACATTTGTCATCAATTGATTTTTGACAAAAGTGCCAAATTAATTCAATAGGGAAAGTATCAACAAATGATGCTGACAACTGGAAATCCATAGGGAAGAAGAAAAAATAAAGGAAGTAAAGAGAGAAAGAAAAAGAATGAAGACCCTTACCTCACACCATATATAAAAATTAACTCAAAATGGATCACAGACCTAAATGTAAGACCTAAAACTATAAAACTTCTAGATAAAAATACAGGAGAAAATCTTTGTGGCCTTGGGTTTGGCAAAAATTTCTTAGCTATATCACCAAAAGTATGACCTAGAATGAAAAAATTGATAAACTGGACTTAATCATTATCCTAAAGTTTTTGTCTTCAAAAACACCATTAAGAAATGAAAAGACAAGCCACAGACTGGGAGAAAATATTTGCAAATCGTGTATCTGATCAAGTATTTCATTTAAAATATATAAAGAATAAAAAGACAGCCAACCTAATTTTTAAATGGGCAAAATATTTTAAGAGACATTTACCAATGAAGATATGCAAGTGGCTAATAAGTACATAAATGGATGCTCAACGTCATTAGGGAAACACAAGTTAAAATATAGGCTATCACTATACATCCTCTAGAATGGCTGTAATTTAAAAGACTAGCAATCCAAGCGTTAGCAAAAACGTGAAGAAACTGGAACCCTCATACCATACTGGTGAGGAAAAAAAAAAAAGTATAGTCACCACTTTGGAAAATGGTTTGGCAGTTTCTTGAAAAGATAAACTTATATTTACCACATGATCACACAATTCCACTCCTAGGTATCTATTTAAGAGAAATTAAAAAAATATGTCAACATAGGGCTGGCCAGTTAGGTCAGTTGTTAGAGTGTGGTGTTATAACACCAAGGTCAAGGGTTCAGGTCCCCGTACCAGCCAGCCGCAGGAAAAAAAAAAAAAGTCTGCATAAAGATATATAAATGAACATTCATAGCAGCATTGTTTATAATAGCCCCCAAACTGGACACAATCCAGATTTCCATCAGCTGATGAATGGATAAACAAAAGGTGATATATTCTTACAATGGAATGCAATTCAGCAATAAGAAGGCATAAACTACTGACATATGCAAAAGATGGATTAACTTCAAAAACATTATGCTAAGTGAAATAAAATAGTTAAGAAAGATGACATATTGTATGATGTGATTTATATGAAATCTCAAGAAAAGGGCAAAACTATGGTGACAGAGAGCAGATCAATGGTTGCCTGGGGATGTGACTGCAAATGGGCATAAAGGAACTTTTCGGGATGATGGAAGTGTTCCAAAACTGGATTGTGGTTATGGTTTCACAACTGTATATATCTACTACAATTTATCAAACTGTACAGGTACAATAGGTAAACTTATGGGGCATTAATTATGCCTTGATAAACTTGTTTTTAAAAAATTTAAGGTACTCACCATTGTAGCCTTCAAGAACAGAATCAATAATAGGTCTTGCAGTTAAGTTGTAAACATCAAGTTGTTTACTCTCTGGTCCAAAAACAGTATCAAAAGTAAATGTCTTCGGAGGTTCATTGGAAGAATCAGTCTTATGTACAGTGATAGTTCCCCTCATCTCATCCACACTGACAGCCTGTTTGTAGCACATTGATTTCTCTCTCTCATTGAGGGGCCGGCACCTAACAACGACCTTCACATTATCACAGCTTTCTGGCTTCTCTGATTTATTGATCTGGTGGAGACAATATTCACAAATAATGAAAGAACATTTACTTTTACCCTTAACAGATTAAATATTGATTTGAAAAAGGCTACTTTGCCATCTCAGTTCCTTACACATATTAAAGATTTCATAAATATTTGTTAAATGCAATGAAAGATCTTATGTATATAGAAAACCTTATTAAAATATATGAAGAGGAAAAGTTACTTTTACAATACAAAAAAAGAGGAGAGAAAATCTAATTCACATTTGTAGTAAATGCTGTACAAGCAGAAAATGAACCAGTATATTATAGATTGCCTTTCTGTATAAAAGTCTCTGACATCTTCTCTTACTTCCTGCCTGGAGGAAAACACAGTGAACAACAACAGATTAACAACATTAATTCAAGAATATAGTAGGTCCTTTGTACCCCTCAGACTACAGTTTTATTTTCTGTAATGCATTAGTAAAATGTTTTTTTTTAGTATATAATATATCCATATATGGTTTATCTTCTCTACAGAAGACAACAATAAATTAAAGCCAGAAAAGAAAATCCAATGGTAGGCAGAGAAAAATGGTTAGTATGACCTTACTTTATGAACATTTGAATATAATTTCAATTTTTGAAATTTTATATGATTAATAATCTATATTAAAATACAATCCTATTATTGAAGTGAAGAAGTTCAACAGAATCGTTGAAAAGATACTTGTTAAATTCCTACTGTTTCAGATACTGTTCTAAGCATTAAAGAGAAACAAATATAAGCCATAATCATTGACTTTGACATTGTCATTGACAAGTAACAGAATATATCAATACAATACACTTCTCTCCATTTCTACCTTCATCACCCTAGTGTAGGTTACCATCATCTTGGCCCTGGATTATAGCCTCCTAACTGTACTCCTGCATCTAATTAGATCACCCTACTGTCTGTTCTGAACACAGCAGTCAGTGTCAACACAAATCTAATCATGTCATTCCACTACTTAAAACTCTTCAATAGTTTCCCACAGCTCTTAGGACAGAAATCAAAATCTTTAAGGTGGTCTGTAAGATCTGGCTCTTGCCTATGTGTACTCCTCTGGGCTTATTTCGTAAGACACTCTGCTTGGTTCTTTCAGCCATAGCCACACTGGGCTTCTTGGCCTTTTTAGTCACCTTGCTCTTTCGCACCACTGGCCTTTCCATGTTTTGTTCCTTCTGCCTAGAACATTCCTCACTCTGCTCTTCACTTAGTTAACATCTACTTATCCTTCAGATCTCAGCTCAATAGCCACTTCGTCTGGAAAGATTTCCCTGACTAGGTCAAATACTTTCATAGGCTCTGAGAACATCCTGCTCTCCCCTTGATGGACACAATTTTACCGCTGTTTGTTCCTTATTTGATTAATGTCTGTCTTTGCCTCCACAAGAGGTTGCAAACAGGTAGTAAAAGGGCTGAATTCAGCTCACAGATTTCTTTTGTTTGGCTCATAGTATTAAAAATCTTTTGAGTTAGTTGTTAAAATTGAGAAATCTCACAAAAATAACAATTCTAAAGACTTTTAGGAAAAAAACCAGAGGATCTGATATCTGTAGGCTAGCTTTCTCACATGGCAACACTTTCCAATTCCCCAATTTCTACTTCTATCTATTGTACTTCAATTTCCCATTTCTACTTCTATCATACGCCATCTACCTGCTTCATTCATTAACGTTGTCATCTCTGTAAAGGTGTATGGGTTTCACCCATGCCCAAGAAGGCACGCTTCTCTCTTTCCAAGTTCAAGAACCTGGCTGGTTTTGCTCAATATTGTATCTCCAGTGCCTAGCATGTGGGTGGTGCCCAACATTTATTGAATGCATCAATAACTTGAAAGCAATGCACAGAAACAAATACAGAACATCTAACGCTAAATGTCAAGCATTGTCCTTCAAGTCTCCTGTGCATTATCTTTTTTCACCCTGATAACAACCCCATGAGGAAAAGTTTAATTATGTGGGAACTACGGGCCCAGACAGATTAAATAATTGTCCGAGGCCTCGCAACCAGTAAATAACCGGCATGGCTCAAGTTTTCCCCATGACCCTTTATTGGAATACAACTCCCCCTTATTAAATGCACTATAACAATGTGAAATCCTAGAACCTACCACCCCCACCCACACAAAGACAATTACGGGTTACATTCTGCACCGTAAGCTAAAGAGCCGCGAGAGGCATGACAGCTGGAGCCTAGGAGAGTCCGAGTCCGAGTCCGAGGCCTGGAATACCGGCTTGGCTTGGCGGCGCAGAGGCCCCACGAGGTGCACGGCATCCAAATAGACCCTCCGTGACCGCCCCCAGCGAGCAGGGCTGGGAGCCAGAACGCATCCTCCCGCACAGCGCCTTTATGTCAAGCAGCGCAGGCCCCAAGGATGCAGCAGCGACGACGCCAAGGCCTGCCCCCGGACCCCTCCCAAGGCCGGCTGGATGGCCACGAGCCCCGGGCCGAGCCGCCAGGGTCCCTCACCGTCGAGGCCTGTCTGGCCCGGCCCTGCCCCGCCTCACCCGGGCCGCCCGCCCGC